TTTTTTTTATAGCTGTATAGTATTCCATGTGTATATATACCACAGTATTTTTTAATCCATTCATCTTTCGATGGACATTTAAATTGATTCCGTCTCTTGGCTGATGTGAATAGTGCTTCAGTGAACATGGGAGTTCAGTTGCCTCTTCAATATATTGATTTTATTTCCTTTGGGTACATACCCAGTGTTGGGATTGCTGAGTCATAAGGTAGTTGTAATTTTAGTTTTTTTGAGGAAGCTCCATTCCATTTTCCATACTGGCTGCACCAGTTTTCAGTCCCACCAGCAGTGTAGGAGGATTCCCTTTTTTCTGTTTCATGGCCAGCATTTGTTATTCTCTGTCTTTTTGATAATAGCCAGTGTAACTGGAGTGAGATGATGTCTCATTGTGGTTTTAATTTGCATTTCCCTGATGATTAGTGATGTTGAGAATTTTTTCATGTGCCTGTTGGCCATTTGTATGTCTTCTTTTCAAAAATGTCTGTTTAAATTCTTTGCCATTTAAAAATATTTTTTGCTATTGAGTTGTTTGAATTTTCCTTATATATTCTGGATATAGTTTGCAAATACTTTCTCCCATTCTACAGATTGTCTCTTCACTATGTTAATTGTTTCCTTTGCTTAAATACAAGATATATTATATACATACACATGTGTATATATTATATTACATAAATAAATACATGTGTATGTATATATAGATATACACAGTTATAGTCAGATTGTCTCAATTGTACCTACTAATACTTGCATTAATTCTTTCCATTAGACTGACATGCACAACTAATATTCACACCTCCATTTCTTGTTCAGAATGATTTAGAATGATTTCAGTGCAAACCTTACACATAAATAAGGAAAGTATTAGGTTCTTATTGCTTGTAAATAGATACTAAATCACAGGCTTTTCTAAATATTGTGAAGGTTTTCTGTTTGGTCACTTCGAATACACAAACATTGATTACATCTGAAGTTATAAAATACATAGTTATGTTTTACTCAGAGGAAGTGTGTTCATAAAATTTACATTAACCTATCAGATAGATAAAGCCGTAGAGTAGAATAACAATAAGAAATCCCTATGGTGTGTTGCTGAATCAAGTGTATAAATGAGTTAATATGAATTAAGTACTATAATAAACTTTTATGAAGGATTTTAAATTTCTCACCAAATTGTCACTTAGCTTGATAAGTGTGTTTATTTTTCATTAAATAAAATTCTACTAATCATTCAAAAATAAATGGGATACCTTTATGGATATTTTTCCAGTATTTTAAATGTAATATTTATTTGAAGGAAAAAACAGTCCTAAGTTCAATGTTCAATTATGCAGAAATAGTATTTTTTCTTCTTTTATTAAGTACCAAAAATTTAAGAAGCAAAGTGAAATTATATAAACAACTGAAAACTTAGCAGAAAAAATAAGTTTATATATATTTTTATAGGATTCTTAGGATAATGATCCTTTAGAGTAATCAATATGTAGTATGACCCAGAATTTCCATTTCACTATTTTTCTAAAACAGCATATGGTGCTAACCCATCCTCTTTATATTATAGTGGTGTTTGGACAATTTGCCTATTTCCAGACGGCACTGAATGATTTGGCAGAATTATTTGATGGAGGCCACCCGCAGGCCAGACTTCTCAGTTCACTCTCTGGGTCTCATTCAGGTAAACTTTGAAAGAGTTTTGGTTTTAATTCCATTCAGACAGCTTAGGTGATTAATTTTAAACTTATCCAATTATTTCCTTTCTTATTTTTTTAATTGAGAAATTTAATCATCTTTGAATTTCATGAGTGTTTAGTAAAATCTTATTTTAGATGTAAGATTTCAATAGTATTTTTATGCCATACACAAAACCACCTTCTTTTATTATTTAACTTACTAAGATTTTGAAAAATACAATTTCATCTCTATATAAGAGGCAAATATCAGAAAAAGAAGAAGGAATAATAAACTATCTGTATATTTTATTTTCTATGCAATGTGTCTCAGTCTTCCTCCTGGAGGTAAAAACTATTGACATTTTAGCCTAAATCAGTCCAAGCCTGTAAATACACGTAGATATCCATTGATTCTCACAAACATGTGTGTATTGCATATACACATACATTCATGCACATATATACGTATGTACACACATATGGACTTCATAAAACATGGGATATTATTTCACAGCTTATTTTTTATCCCATGCTTTCACTTAAAATCACACATAGAGGTCTGTGCTACT